TAAGACATCATAACATTTTTGTGGCATGTTAACTGGCAAGACATTTAAAGTGTTAGTGGCAAAAATACCCTAGAAGCAGTAATGCATATATTGAGAGATGTTAAAAGAAATAAATAGCAAAGAACAAAAGTGTATGTAAATGAAGTTAATTGTTTTGTACAGAGCTACAATTTAATTTAGGTGTGTATTTAGAATACAGGGGACTGTACATTTTTATATCTGTTAAATGTTCTAGTTATTATAATGGCCGACATTAGACATGCCTCCTTGTATCTGAACTAAACAAGATTGAATATGAGTTAAGTTATCATGAAAAGCAGTTCTGTAAGCCCCTATGTACAGTGAAAGCTTCCCAAAGCAAACCATCGTCTTAATATTCAAAATGCGACTAAGTGTTGTAGCAAGCAGGTGAAACATCTCTGTACTCAGACTGTAGTGTGCCTTTCCTCCACATAGTCATTCGGGGCTCTGGTTTTTCTCATTTCAGTCCTTCTCACTCCCCATAGCCATCAGTGTTTCCTCTGCATTTGGTCAGCAAAGAGTGAGGAAAGCGTATCTCTACCCTCATCATCTCACCTCAGCATGACCCATTGCACCCCTTGCCCAAGGCATGAACTAGAACTTTGACACTCAGAAGCAAAAGAAGCCAGGAAGCATGGCTCTCAGGTGACTCAGTGCTCCCTAACAGTACTTCTTCACTAATGAAAGCAGGGATCCCATTGGAGTTGTCAGATCAGCAATACCTTGGCCTCTAGCACCAAACGTTCTGTTACCACCATTCCCCTCCACCCCTTGCTCCATGCAGTAAACATTCATTTCCACTGCAGAGAGTGCATACATGGGAATGGTATCGAGTCATCTCTTCATTACATCCTGTCCAACACTGCAGAGGGTCGGTCCACTTGCAGTCTTGGAAGCCTATGAACCTATGAAGAAGTCCTTGCTGCTACTGTATCCTCTCTTCCCATCCCACCCTAGCACAAATTTAATCTGTCACAAGAACAACTATAAGACCCCCTGGAAGCTCAGGCCTCCAGAATCTTTTCCCAGGACTTCGGCCACCCCAATCACCATGAGGAGGCAGAAACTTGATGCAAACAGCAAGAGGCTTTAATGAAAGGTGGACGTTTGTACAAATGGGCTCTCCCAGCAAGCAGGCTAGAGAGCAGCCCTGTCCCCCAGGCACAGGTGTTTTTAAAGGCAAAAACCATAAGCTTAGGGAGGGGCCTCGACTCTCTGTCTGTTGAACCCATGAGTCATGGGTTCCTAGGAAGCCCTTTGTCTTGAGGGGAGGGCTGGGAATCAGATGGCCTCCTGACCCCACCAGTTGTAAAACCTGCAGACCTCAGGATGTGCTAACTAATGGTAGCTATCTCTTTGTTTCACAGGGACCCTTAATTGTTAATTATTGACACATTGGCAATCTGTTTCCTCCATGAGCCCCTCGGGGAGGGTGGCCATCTGGGAATTCTTGGTACCCAGTTATCTTATGGCCTTGTAAGGGAATAATTGCTGGTGGCTGATAAATTCCAGGCACTAAGTCATAGTAGTAGCCTTGGTTGGTTTCTGGGCTATATTTCTTTGCTAATTTTTAAGTCTTTCACAACAAAGGCGGGAGCCATAGTTTCCTATTTGAAAGATGGAATAATAAGATGTGGCCTGGCCAGGAACAGTAACAACATCCAGCTAGCAGGCTCTTTGAAGAAGTGAGTGCTTCTACTGGAAGTGGTCACAAACTCTTTATGAGACTGGTGTTGTGGACTGGAAAGAACCCCTCTGCCCTATCTTCCCCATGGCCCTCTGAGTTCTCTGCACCTTAATAGCCTCTTCCTTATAAATATTCATAACCAAGTCCCACAAAGGGACAACTTTCTTTTTATTCAGTTCAGGAACCCAAGGACTATTTGCAAAGCAGTTTTTGACAATTCAAGGGCCAATTTGCCAGGGTAGTTCTCTTAGAAACACATATTCTCTGTCTGTATTACTACATTTTTTATGTATCACAGTGATTGTACCTTTACCTGACTGTTGGTCCAGAAAAAACAAAACCATGTCTGGGCTTTGAAATTAAAAGAGTAGGCACACCTAAAGGAAAGTTATATGGAATGACAACAGAATTGTGAGTCCAGAATGAACTCCTTTTATTTATGGTCATTTATGTCTTTTGGCTTTTTTTTTTTTTGAGAAAAAGCCTTGCTGTGTAAATATGACTGGCCTGAAATTCACTATGTAGTCCTGGTTGGCCTCCAGCTTATACGTGATCCTTCTGCCTCTGCTTTGTAAATACTGGAGTTACAGGCATGAACCAACATACTGAGCTAAGCTTATTTTTGTCATAATTATTATTTTTTTTGTGGAGCTGGGAATGAAATCCCAGGCTTTCCCCATGTTTTACAGGGACTCCACTGCTGAGCTCCACCACCAGCCAAAAATGGACAATTTATTTTTTGATGAAAGAACTAAGGCAAGTCAATAAGGAAAGCATAGCTCAGTTAACAGACCCTAGAGGGTATATAACACAAGCAAATTCTTTTTATTTTTTTTAATGACAGAACAAGAAATCAAACTGATGGTGACAAATATATCACAAGATTAACAAAATCAGTATCTGACTGCTTGATGTAGGGGCAGAATGTAGTAGGGGAAAGTGGGAATTCTGAGGAATTCTGAGGATCAAAGGCCCTGAACTTCCCAATGTGGCTGAGCCACCCACATTCTTATTTTTTTCTTTTTTCTTTTTTGCAGATATTTTTATTTGAATTAGAAACAAGATTGTCTTACATGACAATCCCAGTTCCCTCTCCCTCCCCTCCTCCCCTACCACGCCCCCCAACTAAAACCCTACCTATCACATATCCTTTCTGCTCCCCCTGGATGGTGAGGCCTTCCATAGGGTGTCATCAGAGTCTATCATATTCTTTGGATAGGGCCTACGCCCACCCTGGTGTGTCTTGGCTCAGGGAGTATTCCTCTATGTGGGATGGGCTGCCAAAGTCCACACCTGCCACCCACATTCTTACATGTCTCTGTGTCCTCACACATGGGACAAAACTTATTCATTGAAGATCAAGCTGAACAGTAATCTCCCTGCCGACTTAAGTTGGAAGTGCCCATAACAAAAAACAAAACAACAAGAAATCCAAAATGTGCCTGAAATGATCGTACTCAATTTGCAGGTGATCTTTAAGCTGTGGTTTCACTGTAAGCAGTTATTTTGAGACCTTGTTTTGTAACATATGGAACTTTTAGACAATAAGAAACTTACAAATTCTTAAAGTATTTACTTCTTTTATCGAAAAATTTAAATCAGGATACTTCTCAATAAACACAGAAGGAAGAATTAAAAGTGAATAAGGTTTATAGGTAGCTTTTGCCAAACTAATGTTTTAAGAAAGGAAGAGAGGGAACATAGGACATTTTTTCCACACTTGCTAGGAATATTACAGTGATGCTTTCTTTGCCTTAGTCTTTGATTTTTTTTAAATCTCCTTTTAGTTGATAATATTTCTTTGTCTACTGATTTGAACCAAAAGTTATCCACATTTTGTAGCACTACTGCTATTTAAGAAATGAACTGTTTAGTATCTCACCGACAATTCTAACAGTCAAAACGTTGTAGTCATACTTCAGAAAACATCAAGAATGGCATTTAGCCTCTCCTTGAATGTCATTTATATACCAGAGTCTGTAGATATTCTGAACTTAAGGGGGCCTTTAGGATATAGCCTTGAGCAAAGACTCAGTATGGTATGTATCATTGGAAAATTGCAAGACGATGATAGTTTGAGATGTTTTATGGCTATGCTATGTTTGCTAGAGAGAAAGAAAGCCTTGCTTGTAGATTTTTCCTGAATACACCCATTTACATGTAGGATAAAAAGTATCTTTGGAGAGTGGAAGACACCCTTTGGTCTTGATTTGTACTTTTTTTTTTTTTTTCTTTTTTGAGACAGAATTTTTCCGTGTAGCTTTAGAGCCTATCCTGGCACTCGCTCTGGAGACCAGGCTGGCCTGAACTCACAGAGATCCACCTGCCTCTGCCTCCCAAGTGCTGGGATTAAAGGTGTGCGCCACCAACGCCCAGCACTTTGAAAATATTTTTACTTACCCGACCATGTTTATGATTCTTTACTTGGTATCTAAGTGCCTGATTCATGTACCTTTCCTGATGAATTAGGGGTACAAATGAGTCTTGGTGTGCTGTACCTTGGGTCTGTTTTGTCTTTCAGACTATAGTCCTCCTATTGTAGCATGCCTACTAATGCTTGGATATGGTTACAAAATTACATGCAGGGGAAAGAGTAATCTCACTGATACGGCAGGGAACATCAGAGGAGCATGCATCTCTTTCCTAAGCTGGCTTGGCAAAGTGAGCCAATATCAAATAGTCACCTGATAATTTGATTATTTTGAATAAAATAGGAATTTGTTCCAGTTACAATGTCATCTTGATAATTCTGACAGGAGACAGTCAGGAAGATAGTCTTTGGTATTGATCTAGAACTGAAAATATGTTATGAGCATTCTTTTCCACCTGTAATTGAGTTGATTTTCTTTAATACAATTTTATAAGGAAGCTATTAAGATACAAGGCATATTTGTACAGCTTCAATAATTGGTTTTACTTTTTTTGTGTGTTTGCTTCTGTAATTTCAAAGATTTTTTTCCCTGAAATTCTGTGCCCTGAGTTGATTGGAATGGTGTTGAAATTATAGGTGCCCATTAAGCAGTTTTCGACTGCCAGCACGAATGCCACATATTGTGCTATTAACTCATTATGAAGTGACAGAGATAGAAAACTCATTATGTGATAATAGGAAAACACATACTTGTCAAAAACAAATAAATCTGTGTGGAAAATCCAGACAGTGGTCTATCAGACATACTTGGGTATTGACACCTTCGTTTCCAATCGGAAAATGCTTACAGAAAGTTTTAGTTCCAAGTACTAGGGGCCCTCTATCATGTACTCAGAGATTTTCCTTTCTTGTTGCTTCCAGGTGATATTATACCCAACTTCTAATAGCTCCAAGTCGGCAGAGTTACACCGAATGATAGTTCCCAAGAACAGTCAGGACTCTGACTTAAAGATCAAATTGGCAGTGCGCATGGATAAGCCACCACACATGAAGCACAGTGGGTGAGTAAAATGTCCTTCCCTGGAATCAATGTGTCACCTATGTCTGTCTGTGGGAAAAAAAAAAACAGTGTATCAGACATTCACATGGAATTTTCTCAACACACTGACATAAGTAAGTTGTTTAGATCGCAAATCCCGTAGCCTCTCTGTAGATAGATATTCAGTTAATGCAACTGTGTTAACACCTAACAGTGTTGCTTATTGATTGTATTGACATCACATTATTATGAGGAGTCCACCAGAGACGACCACTCAGACACAGTGTATAGCCATCTGAAAGTCTTTATTCCAGCTGTCAGGGACTACCCAGGACCAAAGTGTAGCCATGAGCATGCTTTTATGTGGTGCTTCCTCTGCAGGCTTTACAGCAGGCAGGGGTAAACAATCCATGAAAAGACAAGAATGGAATTCCATTCAACCGGATTTTACTTTAACCTGCACTGGACAAGGACTTCTGGAGTCCAGCCCAGATCATTTTACTTTAGTCATATTTAAGCACAGCACAATTTTGGGGAAAAAGTACTCAGATAACATTTAACTCAGTCCCCAGTGCACAATTTAAGACATGTTTTCATTGAGATTCTTTACAAAGAATGTCTGGCTTCTTTCACAAGAGTGGGTACAGTTGACTAAGAGATAGTGCCCACAATTTAGGGCCCAGGGGGCTTGTCTGGGGCAAACATAACACCTATGGGTGTCAGGATTAGCCTGGCCCTAAGATAACAAAGAAGTCAATCTGATTGTTGTATAGCACAAGCGACATCATTCATAAGAGTGGATTTTGCTACATCCAGTAGCTGATCAAAGTAGATGCAATGACCACAGCTAAGCACTGGGCTGAACTCCTGAAGTTCAGCTGAAGAGAGGGAGGAGGGATCATATGAGCAGAGGCAGGCAGGTCAAGACCATGATGGGGAAAACCACGGTGACAACTGACTCGAGCTAGTAGGAGCTCAGTGAACTCTGGACCAACAGTTGGGGAACCTGCCCTAGTGATGTGGCTTGATCTGTTTCGGGGAGGGTGCCCCCGGGCAGTGGATTCAGGACCTAGCCTAGGTGCATGAACTAGCTTTTCGAAGCCCATTCCCTAAGGGCTCAGCCTTGTTACGGGGGGAGGGGCTTGGTTCTCCCTCAACTTGGTATGCCAGACTTTGTTGACCCCCCAAAGAAGGCCTTACCCCCTGTAAGGAGTAGACAGGGAGTGGACAGGGATAGAAGGGGAGGCGGGAGAAGAGGAGGGAGGGGGAACTGGGCACCTCATTCCACTGAAGAGGTGAGCTATGTGTTTAACTTTCCTGGCTTCTCCCGTGCTTATCTGTATGGACAAGAACTTTTACCCCCTACACTTTTAAAGGCAAAATCCATGTCCTGGTAATTCACTCTGCCGCTGCAAGGGGAGGTCTGCACAAGCAGGCACTTTAACAGAAGCTAAGATAAATTAACGGAGGCACCTTGGCCCTCAAGTCCTAGAATAGAGTTGGGTAATTTCCCATAGGATTCTCCACCAAGGAGATCAAATACTCGTTAAACCTGGAATGGCCTCAGCAAGAATATGAGATGGAGGAACCTCTGTACTGTCTTACCCTATCACAACATAGGAGTATAGAAACACAGATGTATAGAAAAATGTTTTAGGAAATAGACTTCACAATCAGGTATAGTGGTATATAAGGAAATAGTGGACTCACATCTGGTGCTCAGGGTTCTAGAAATAGTTAAACTGTCATAGAATATATGAAAGCTAAAGAGTGCATCAGATATAACCCAGAGGGCTATGCACATTTTGGTGGGAGGGAAGTGAGTTGTCACCCACTATGAGAGTCCTGGAGGAGACTAATGTTGGAAACCCAGGAGGTGAAGAGCTTCTCATCTGGGGATTGCCACGGTCTAACACAGCTGTCATCACTGCTAATATTCTTTTACTCCAGTAACTGGTGAGGAGCCAGTTCAGAACCAAATCTGAACTCCTTTTTTTGTTGTTGTTTTGTTTTCAAGACAGAGCCTCACTATGTAGTCCTGGCTGTCCTACCACTCACTAAGTACACTACGCTGGCCTTAAATTCACAGAACTCTGCCTGTCTCTGCCTCCCAAGAGCTGGGATTAAAGGCCTGTGCCACTATGTCAGGCTCTAAACTCTTAAATAAAATGAATTTTCAAAGATTTATATTTTTCTCAGGTTAACACTTTAAGGAAATTCAATCATTCAAATGCTAGTTGTTTAGAAAGAATGTGACCAGTTTTTATTGTTTTATTTTTACATCCCTCCTCTCCTCTTAGCCCCTCCCTTGCCTCCTCTGTGCCCATCCTCCATCCATTCCAACTCCATTTCTCTCCAGAAAAGGGCAGGCTTCCCATTTATAACAACCAAACATGGCATATCAAGTTGCAGTAAGACTTGGCAAGGTGACCCAGTATGAGGAAGGGGGTCCCCAAAGCAGGTAACAGAGTCAGAGACAATCCCTGCTCCCACTGTTAGAAGTCCTACAAGAACATCAAGTTATACAACTGTCACATGGGCTTGGGTCAGTCTCATGCAGGTTCCAGGGTTGTTGGTTCAGTCTCTGTGAGTCCCTGTGAGCCCAGGTTAGTTGATTCTGTGGGTTTTCTTATGGTGCCCTTGACCCCTCTGACTCCTACAATCCTTCCTCTCCCTCTTTTGCAGGGTTCCCCAAGACCCATCTGTGAGTCTCTGCATTATTTTTCTTTAGTTGCTGGATGAAGCCTCTGTGATGACACCATCTATGGTGTCATCTATGGTGTCATCTATTGGGCTAGACACCAATCTATGAGCAAAATAGAATATCATTAGGAATCTTTTCATTCTCTCTCTCTCTCTCTCTCTCTCTCTCTCTCTCTCTTTCTCTCTCTTCTTCTCTCTTCTTCTTAACATGTTTGGTTCTATTCTGGTTCTCTCTGTGTGCTACCCTGCCTCTGGGCCCTGGCCTTCCAGGCAGTATCAGCAGTAGACTCCTCTAATGGTATGGATCTCAAGCTGGACCAGTCATTGGTTGGCTACTCCCACAATTTTTGTGCCACCTTTATCCTCAGCATGTCCTGTAGACAGGACGAATAGTAGGTCGAAGATTTATGGCTGGCTTGGTGTCCAAATCCCTCTACTGGAAGTCTTGCCTGGCTATAGGAGATGACCAGTTCAGGTTCTGTATTCCCTACTGCTAGGAGTCTTAGCTAGGATCACCCTCATAGATTCCTGGGAGTTTCCATTACAGTAGGTTTCTAGCTTGTCTCCAAGATGCCCACAATTCCAATTGTCTCTCCCAGTATTCTCTCCCTCCATCCTCCCCTGACCTGATCCCTCTTGTTCCCAAATGTGAGGAGAAAGAGTTGCTGAAGTGGTTCACTTAAGTTTAGCAACGAATTTAGCAGTGTAAAAAGTGCATTCCTCTAAGAAGGTCTGGGACTTTTAAACCTAATCTCCAACAGGAAGGAGGTGCTAATTTCTGCTTCAAAAGATAGGTAGGACTTGTTGATTGCTTCAAGGAAAACAAAGTTGGGTGTTGGGTCAGGATTTACCCACCTGTGTATGTCTCTTAGAAAAGAAACTGGAATTCAGGAGGCTACAATGTGGTATCTTTAATGTGTCAATGTAAAGGAAAGTCTAGCTGTGAGTCAACTCAATACAGATAAAGATCCTGGCATTTACTACCTAGAAGCTTTTCATTTGCCCACCTGCCTGTTCCCTGTGTCAAATTGTGCCACAGACTCCTTTTCCAATCGAAAGCCTATTTGAAAATCAAGTAAGGGCATTTGGCTTGGATATAAATAATTGTAGTAGCAAGTGGTAAATGCATTAAAGTAGGAATGGGAACGTGGTGGAAATCATACCCAATTTTAGCTGGGACTCATTAGTTAAAGTCACACTACTCCTGACCTTTGAAGTCAAGGAAAACGCAGCATGTGACCGGTGGGGAAGATGGGCATTTCTGTCATGTGACAAACATTATCAAAAGGCAGGAGTTCTGAGGGGGCTTTAGCTAGTGGTGACAAGTTCACCACAGTTTACCTGAAGAGCCTTTGAGACTTCCACATTAACAGAGTTTCAAATGAGACATAAAGTATACTGCATGTTCCAGGAGCTAGCACATTTCTCTACTATTTGCTCTGTGTCTCTGTCTCTTTGTGGATGATATAAGAAGTAACAGTGGCCAGGAGGAGATTGAATAGTTCAGGAGCCCCCAGATTGTACCAGGAACAAAGACTGAACATGAAGTAAGACAAGAGCAAGTTCTGCAGCCCTGAACACTTGTGGGAAGAAACCCCTGCTCTGACCTATCAACTTCTGGTATAGATTTAGTCAAAGCAGGTGGATCAGTCTAACTGCCTTACAAGGGAGGTGAGGATTGGTGGTCTCTTTCCTTTGTATCAAATGAGAATTCGAATTTTGTTACAGTTATTTGACTAAATCAAGATTTCTGTAATGGTTCTTCTTCCCCAAACTGAAATTGATGGGAGAATAAAGAGTTTAATTCATAAAGCTCAGAGAATCACCAAAGAAAGCTTCCCTTGCCCTGGTTATGTAAATCAGTGCCTCCCACTTCGAGAAGGTACTAGAAGTCATTTTTGGACACTCGAATATCTCTGTAGTTCATAGCATGCAAAACTGTTGAATTCTAGAAATGAAAATGTTTGTGCTGTTCATAGACCACATATAAGAATTGTGTAGCAGCCAGGCAGAGGTAGCTCATACCCTTAATCCCTGGGAGCAGAGACAGGCAGATCTCAGTGAGTTTGAGGCCAGTCTGGTCTACCAAGCAAGTTCCAGGACAGCCAGGATTATTACGCTAGAAACCCTGCCCTGAAAAACCAAAATAAATAAATAAATAAATAAATAAAATTATGTAGCTAAAGCATTAGGAATATCATATCGCATAATAGTGAGTGGATAAAAAAACCCTTTTAATATTCATATCAGAAATAATAGTGTATCAGTGTTAAAGGTTTTGGCACTATTGTGAAACTGCTTGATCCCTGTGAGCAAGGA